AAAGATTGTATCAGAGCAATAATTTCAGGGGTTCATCCACTCTCCATGGCTCCAGAAAGTCTGGAGTCCATGAGAACCTGAAATTCTGTTCTGTATTTTCCCCTTTTAATCATGCTCCTTCTATAGAATCTTTGATCAAAATGTTCAGTAGTGGTAGCCAGGTGCCACCCTGCTCTTCTCGTCTTATGGCAAGGGAAGCAGCTGTTCATGGAGGCAATTAGCCACACATTCCTCCTCCTATTCCTGACTCTCCTTCTTCCTATGTTGTTCCAGGTGAATAGAAACCAATTGTTGTGCCTTGGATGGCCTCTTGCAAGCTTTTAAGACCCCAGGCACTATGCAATGAACTAGGAGGTAGAGCAGAAGCACTCAACACGTTACTAGGCTAATTAATGGGGCTGTCCCATCAAACCATGACGTTAACCCTCCAAATCAGCGAACCAAATTCCGTAAGGTGTTTGGTTGTACATAAACAGCCTCAGCAGCTACTCTTTTTTTTTTTTTGTCGTTGTTGTAAATATGCCTATCACATGACTTTTGCCAATTCAACTTTTACAGTTGTACAACTTATTGACGGTAATTACATTAATCGGCTGTGCAAACTTACCTTTAATAGATGCGATTTTTCCATTACCGTAAACCGAAACTCAGTACTCCTTAAGCAAGTTTCCCTCCTTTTTCTCCTCCCTGCTGCCCCTGGTAAACACTAATAAACTCTGGTCTCTATACATTTCCTTTTCTTGTCTTTCTATATAAGTGAGGTCATACAATATTTGTCCTTTTGTGATTATTTCACTCAGTATAATGTCTTCAAGCTCCATCCATATTGTAGCATGCATCAAGACTTCGTTTCTCCTGTTGGCTGAGTAGTATTCTATTGAATGTATGTACCACATTTTGTTTATCCATTCATCCGTTCATGGGCATTTAGGTTGTTTCCACCTTTTCGCTACTGTGAATAGTACAATGAGCATTGGTGTACAAGTCTCTGAGTCTCTGCTTTCAAGTCTTTTGGAAATATACCTAGGTGTGGAATTGCTGGGTCATATGGTAGTGCTGTTTTTAGTTTTTTGAGGAAGCACCACATTATTTTCACAATGGCTGTACCATTTTGCATTCCCATCAGTAATAAAGAATGGGTCCAATTTCCCCAAGTCCTCCCCAACATTATTTTCTTTTTCTTCTCCTTCATCTTAGCCATCCTAGTGGGAATGAAGTGGTATCTCATTGTGGTTTTGATTCGCATCTCTCTGATGGCTAATGACATTGAGCATCTTCTCATGTGTTTGGTGGCCATTTGAATGTCCTCTTTCATGAAATGTGTCTATTCAAGTCTTTTGCCCATTTTATCATTGGGTTGTGTTTTTGTTAAGTTGTTGATGTTTTACATATATTTTAGTTATTAGATTCTTACCAGATATATGGTTTCCAAAGATATACTCCCAGTCAGTAGGTTGTCTTTTTACTTTTTTCATAAAGTCTTTTGATGAAAAAAAGTTTTTAATTTTTATGAGGTCCCATTTATTTATTTTCTTTTGCTGTTTGTGATTTTGTTATTAAATAATTCATTGTTAAAAGCTAGGCCCAACAATGTTGCCCCTGCATTTTCTTCTAAGAATTTTATGGTTTTAGTTTCCACATTTAGGTCCTTAATCTATTTTTAATTTGTTCTTGTATAATGTGTGAGGCATGGATCCTTTCTCATTTTTCTGCATTTGGAAATCCAGTCTTCCCAGCACCAATTATTGAAGAGATTCTTCTTTCCCCATCAAATGGACTTGGCACCCTTGTCAAAAATGAGTTGAACATAGATGTAGGAATGCACAGATCTTAAGAGTACTATTTGATAAATTGTGACAAATCAGCAAACCTACGTGACCCACATTACTGTCAAGATATGGAATGTTACCTTCACCCCAAAGAGTTCCCTCATGCTTCTTCTTAATCCTCACTCCCACCTCTAGAGGCTAACACTGTATGATTTTTCCACCATATATTAGTTTTGCCTTGTCTAGAATTTTTTATAAACGGAAGCAAACTGTATACAGTCTTTTGTGTAAGGCTTATTTCATTCACCATAATCATTTTGATGTGTATCGTCATTGTTGCATTCATTCATTCATTTAAATTGCTTAATAGTATTCCATTGTTGGACTACACCTGTTGTTTATCCATGGCCTATTCATGGGCCCCTGGACTGCTTTTAGTTTTTAGGTTGTTATGAATAAATATGCTATGAACATTCTTGTACAAGTATTTTTATGAATATATTTTCATTTCTCTTCAGTAAATATTTAGAATTAGAATTGTGGGCATTATAGGGTAGGAGTTCCTGGGTTGTACAAACAGTTAAACACTCGGTTACTAACAGAAATGTTGGCAGTTTGAAGCTACCCAGAGGTGCCTTGGGAAGAAAGGCCTCGCTTATCTACTTCTGAAAGATCACAGTCATTGAAAACCCTACGAAACACACAGTTCTAGTCTGACATCCATGAAGTCACCATGAGTCATAGTCGACTGGACGGGAACTGGAGGGTGGTGTATGCATAGTATTATGAGAATCTGGTAAGACCTTTTCCAAACAGGTTCTACCATTTTTCACTCTGACCAACAATGAATGAGTTCTGGTTGCTCCATATTTTTGCCCAGATTTGGTGTTGTCAGCCCTTTTAACTATTTTTGTGGGTGTGTAGTGGTATGAGTTGGAATAGACTCGACAGCAGCAGGTTTGGTGTTTCGGTAGTGTTATCTCAGTTTGATATATTTTCATTATCATTCACTTCAAATTGTTTTTTCATTTCCCTTGTGATTTCTTTAACCCAGTTTTTAGCAGTATGCTGTTTAATTTTTGCTGGTTATTATTACTAATTTAATTTTAAAAATGAGTCACAAAAACAATGTATGATTTGGGTCCTTTTATATTTATTAAGACTTGTTATATGGCCCGGCATATGTTTTGTCTTAGTTAAGTTACTAAGTGCACTTGAAGAGAATGTGTGTTTTTTGCAGTTTTGCCCGTACTGCTCTATTTATGGAACAATTAAATCAAAGTGGTTGATATTGTTGTTCAGATATTCTATTTCTTTACTGATTTTTCTTTTTTGTCTAATTCTGTCAATTCCTTAAGGAGCTTTGTTAATATCTACTTGTTTGTAGATTTTCCTATTTATCTTATTGTTAATTTTTGTTTCATGAGTTTTGAAGCTCTTTTATTAGGGAAATACAAATTTATGACTGGTATACTTTTCTGAGGAATTTACCTTTTATCATTATGAACTGCTTCCAGTAATTCCCTATGTTAAAGTCTACTTTATCTGATATTATCTGGTATCGACAAACCCTGATAACAAATTCTGACAGTCTTTTTATTGTTTGCATTTCCATCTATTTACTTGCACTATCGTATCTTTATACTTAGAGTGAATCTCTTGCTGTAAGCATATAGTTGTAGCTTGTTTTTTTTTTTAATCCTCTTTGACATCTCTGTTTTAAATAAGAGTGTTTAGTCCATTTAAGAAGGAGTCTTGGCGGCAGAGTGGTTAAAAAAGTACTCGGCTGCTAACCAGAAGGTCAGTGGTTTGAACTCACCAGCCGAGAAATATGTGGCAGTTTGCTTCTGTAAAGATTACAGCCTTGGAAACCCTATGGGGGTAGTTCTATTCTGTCCTATAGGGTTATGACTCAACGGCAGTGGCTTCGGGTTTTTGGTAGTCCATTTAAATGTAACAAGATTATAGTATGGTTAGATTTAGTTCTACCCTTTTACTATTTGTTTTTTTTTTCTCTACCTCCTTCCACGCCTTCTTTTGAGTTAACTGTGTATTTCTTTGAATGCCGTTCTAATACATGATTGGCTTTTCAGCTGTATCTTTGTAGTTTTTTTTTTTTTTTTTTAGCAGTTGCATTCTTAACTTACCACAGTCTTCTTAGGTTACTATTGCACCACTTAACAAAAAGCATAAAAGCTTGCAATAGTATAGTTCCATTACCCCTTCCATAGTCAAAGACTGTGTTGTGACCCTACAACAACTTCTGTCCATAAACTCTCAACTGAAGGGGAAAAAAACACTGGAAAAAAAACACTGATATGTGGGTAGACAATTTACATATTCACCCAAACATCAAAGGACAAAAGGGTTCAATGCAGTGCTCCATAAGGTTTCAACTCAGAGGTTGGATGAAACACGTGTTAGGGTGATAAGGATCCCTTTTTTCTAGGTAAAAGCCTATGTTTTCCAAATATGTGATTATGGTTTCTGTCCCTGTGTCAAAGCAAAATACTGGAACCTGTTAATACTAGTTTCACAGGGCTATTTATGTGTTGAGTATGAAGTAAAACAACAAAAAAAACTCTTTCAAAGCCCATAGGTCTGTGCATTGTTATTTTCCCTCTTATCCTAACAACGGAACATGAAGGGTACCTGAGGAAGGAATATAACTCAGTGGCAACTGCATTAGAACCACTTTCCCAAACCAAACTTAGAGTATACCAAATGATGGCCTCAATTCCAGCGCGATTCACCATGATCGATACAGGGCGAAGGGCACGTTTTGGGAGTGGGGAAAATATTTTGAGCTAGGTAGGTCATAATATCTTCATATTGCTTATAAATCTGTTTTTGACCAACAAAGTTATACACAAAAAGCATATACAATCAGGAGGCACACCGTGGATTAACAGAAGGAAACAAACTTTTAAGAGAAATCAATCATCCCACGAAATGGTATTTAGCAGAGATTTACCTAGGTAGCCTCTACTCAGGGGACACGGGGTGGTGGGGTACACGGGAACTAGCCGGAGAAGAACAAAAAAGACGACCCCATACTTATATCGAAAAAGGCAAGGCGAAACCAAGATGCCTGTCACCACACCCCCAAACACGCCTCTTCCGGGAATCACGTAAGGGGCACGCACGTGGCGCTGCGCCTGCGCACTGAGATCTCCCTGTAAAAGGCCAATAGACGGTAGGGGTGGGCGGGCTGTAGGCCGGAGACCCAGTATCCGGTTCCGGTGGGCTTCCGTCAGTCCACTGCTGTGCTACGTGTCTCTGGCCTCCCAAGCGGTGGTGTTGCAGGTGAGGGTCCTCCTGCTGGTCGGCGTGGGACAGGCTAGGTGAGCGGGCCCTTTGTGACTCGCGAAGGTAGCGGGAGCAAGCGAGCAGGCGGGTCTTTACGGACGGCTTTCGCGGCGCGGGCGGTGAGAGGGGCCCCCTCACTCAGAACTGAGAGCAGGGTGCGGCCTACCCACAAAACTCCCGAACGGCCTGATGTGGAACCAAAGACCCAGGGCCGCGGCCTCCCGAGGTCCCGAGGGAGAGGGGTTTCGACAGCCCGCCGTCCTTCAGGGCTTAGAGTCTTGGGCCAGGGTTTGGTTTTCTCGCTGCTTATTCTTTACCGCGTCCCACTGTTAACAGTTTCCAGTGTCGTGTCTGCTATAGTCCAGATGATTGCCTGCCGCTGGGAGTCACTTAGGGGTTGACTTTGGGGGTGTGTGTGGAATACTGTCTTGGAAGAGCTATATTCAGCCCTGCCCTTACCGCTACTTCCATGGTGTGAAGTAGGAGGCTTGGACCTGATTCCAAATCAAGAGATCATAGTGGATTATTGGATCCCGTCTTGTGACTTTAAGTGCAGTGTTTTGTGTATGTGCATGTTTTTGGACAAAGGGTCTTTAGCTTGCTTTCGTCATGATATTATGGTTATATAAAGTTTAAGCCTATTGGATTTGAAGCACAAAGTGAAATACAGGTAGTCCCCCATTTACGCGTATTCTAGTTAGTATGAACCGCCCCACTTAAAACTGTCTTTTTTTTAAGTGAAAGCTTACAGTTCACCTCAGTTTCTTATACAAAAATTTTTACACACATTGCTATGTGATCCTAGCAGATCTCCCTGCAATGTGACAGCACACTCCCCCTTTCCACCCTGGATTTCCCTTGTCCACCCAACCAGCATCTGTCTCTTTTTGCCTTCTCATCTCACCTCCGGACAGGAGCTGCCCGTTTAGTCTCCTGCATCCACTTTAGCTATGAAGCACTCTCTTCATGAGTATCATTTTTTGTCCCATAGTCCAGTCTAATCTTTGTCTGAAGAGTTGGCTTCGGAAATGGTTTCAGTTCTGGGCTAACAGAGTCTGGGGGCCATGTCTTCCAGAGTCCCTCTAGTCTCAGTCAGACCATTAAGTCTGGTCTTTTTACTAGAATTTGAGTGAGGCACCCCACTTTTCCCCTGCTCTGTCAGGGAGTCTTTGTTGTGTTCCCTATCAGGGCCATCATTGGTGGTAGCCGGGCACCATCTAATTCTTGTGGTCTCAGTTTGATGGAGTCTCTGGTTTATGTGACTGTTTCTGCCTCTTGGGCTAATATTTCCTTGTGTCTTTGGAGTTCTTATTCTCCTTTGCTCCAGGTGGATTGGGACCGGTTGATGTATCTTACATGGCTGCTCACCAGCCTTTCAGAGTCCAGATGCCACTCACCAAAGTAGGATGCGGAACATTTTTTTAATAAACTTGGTTATGCCAGTTGACCTAGATGTTCTCTGAAACCATGGTCCCCAGATCCCTGCAGCCCCTGCTACTCTGTCCCTTGAAGCGTTTGGTTGTATTTAGGAAACTTCTTAGCTTTTGATTTTGCCCAGTTGTGCTGATTTCTCCTGTATTGTGTGTTGTCCTTCCCTTCACCTGAGATAATTCTTATCTATTATCTAGTTAGTGAATACCCCTCGCCCTCCCACCCTCCCCACCCTCAAAACCATCAAAGAATGTTTTCTTCTGTGTTTAAACTATTCCTTGAGTTCTTATAGTAGTGGTCTCATACAATATTTGTCTTTTTGCAACTGACAAATTTCACTCAGCATAATGCCTTCCAGATTCATCCATATTATGAGATGTTTCGCAGATTCATCGTTGTTCTTTATCGTTGCATAGTATTCCATCATGTGACTATACCATAATTTGTTTACCCATTAGTCCGTTGATGGGCACCTAGGTTGTTTCCATCTTTTTGCTATTGTCAGCAGTCCTGCAGTGAACTTGTGTGTGCATATATCTATTTGTGTGACGACTCTTATTTCTATAGGATATATTGCAAGGAGTAGGATTGCTGGATCATATGGTACTTCTATTTCTAGCTTTTTAAGGAAACGCCAAATTGATTTCCAAAGTGGTAGTACCATTTTACATTGCCACCAGCAGTGTATAAGTGTTCCAGTCTCTCCACAAACTCTCCAGCATTTATTATTTTGTGTTTTTTGGATTAATGCTAGCCTTGTTGGGTGAAATCGTATCTCATTGTAGTTCTGATTTGCATTTCTCTAATGGACAATGATTGCGAGCATCTCCTCATGTATCTGTTAGCTGCCTGAATGTCTTCTTTGGCGAAGTGCCTGTTCATATCCTTTGCTCATTTTTTAATTGGATCATTTGTCTTTCTGTTGTTGAGGTTTTACAGTATCTTGTAGATTTTAGAGATTAGACGCTGATCGGATTTGTCGTAGCCAAAAATTTTTTCCCAGTCTAGGTTGTCTTTTTACTCTTTTGGTGAAGTCTTTTGATGAGCATTAAGTGTTTGATTTTTAGGACCTCCCAGTTCTCTAGTTTCTTTTCTGGTGTTTGTGCATTGTTAGTAATGTTCTGTATTCTGTTTATGCCATGTATTAGGGCTCCTAGCATTATCCCTGTTTTTTCTTCCATGGTCTTTATCGTTTTCAATTTTATGTTTAGGTGTTTGATCCATTTTGAGTTAGTTTTACCACATGGTGTGAGGTATGGGTCTTGTTCCCTTTTTTTGCAGATGAACATCCAATTATGCCAGCATCATTTGTTAAACAGACTGTCTTTTCCCCAGTTAATGGGCTTTAGGCCTTTGTCAAATATCAGCTGCTCATAGGTGGATGAATTTACGTCTGGATTCTCAATTCTGTTCCATTGGTCTATGTATCTGTTGTTGTACCAGTATCAGGCTGTTTTGACTACTGTGGCGGTATAATAGGTTCTAAAATCAGATAGTGCGAGGCCTCCCACTTTGTTCTTCTTCTTCAGTAATGCTTTACTTATCTGGGGCCTCTTCCTTTTCCATATGGAGTTGGTGATTTGTTTCTCCATCTCATTAAAAAATGCCATTGGAATTTGGTTTGGGAGTGCATTGTATCTGTAGATCGCTTTGGGTAAAATTGACATTTTCACAATGTTGAGTATTCCTATCCCTGAGCAAGGTATGTTTTTCCACTTATGTAGGTCTCTTATGGTTTCTTGCAGTAGTGTCTTGTAGTTTTCTTTATATAGGTCTTTTACGTCTTTGGTTAGATTTATTCCTAAATATTTTCTCTTCTTGGGGCTGTTGTAAATGGTATTGATTTGGTGATTTCCTTTTTGAAGTTCTCTTTGTTGGTGTAGAGAAATCCAACAGATTTTTGCATGTTCATCTTGTATCCTGATACTTTGCTGAAATCTTCTATTGGTTCCAGTAGTTTTCCTGTGGATTCTTTGGCGTTTTCTGTATATAAGATCATATCATCTGCAAATAGAGATACTTTAACTTCTTCCTTACCAGTTTGGATGCCCTTTACTTCTTTTTCTAGCCTAATTGCTGTGGCTAGGACCTCCAGCATAGTGTTGAATAAGAGTGGTGATAAAGGGCATCCTTGTCGGGTTCCTGTTCTCAAGGGGAAAGCTTTCAGACTCTCTCCATTTAGGATGATGTTGGCTGTTGGCTTTGCTTAAATATCCTTTATTATGTTGAGGAATTTCCCTTCTATTCCTATTGTGCTAAGAGTTTTTATCATGAATGGTGTTGGACTTTGTCAGATACCTTTTTTCTGTATCACTTGATAAAATCATGTGGTTCTTTTTTTTTGTTTTATTTATGGGATGGATTACATTGATTGTTTTTCTAATGTTGAACCATCCCTGCACACCTGGTAAGAATCCCACTTGGTCATGGTGAATTGTTTTTTTGATATGTTGTTGAATTCTGTTGGCTAGAATTTTGTTGTGGATTTTTGCATCTATGTTCATGAGGGATCTTGGTCTGTACTTTTCTTTTTTTGTGGTGTCTTTACCTCGTTTTGGTATCAAGGTTATGCTGGCTTCATAGAATGAGTTTGGGAGTAGTCCATCCTTTTCTATGCTCTGAAATACGTTTAGTAGTAGTGCTGTTAACTCTTCTCTGAAAGTTTAATAGAATTCTCCAGTGACACTGTCAGGGCCAGGGCTTTTTTTTCGTTGGGAGTTTTTAAATTAATTTTTCAGTCTCTTCTTTTGTTATAGATTTAGCTGTTCTACCTCTGTTCGTGTTAGTTTAGGTAGGTAATGAGTTTCTAGAAATTTGTCCATTTCCTCTAGGTTTTCAAGTTTGTTACAGTACAGTTTTTTTATGGTATTCTGTTATGATTCCTTTAATTTCAGTTGGGTCTGTTGTGATATCGCCCATCTCATTTCTTATTCAGGTTATTTGCTTCCTCTCCTCTTTTTGTTTTGTCAGTTTGGCCAGTGCTTTATCAATTTTGTTGATCTTTTCAAGAACCAGCTTTTGGTCTTGTTAACTCTTTCAGTTGTTTTTCTATTTTCTGTTTCATTTAGTTCTGCTCTAATGTTTATTATTTGCTTTCTTCTGGTGCCAAAGGGCTTGTTTTGCTGCTCCCTCTCTATTTGTTTCAGTTGTAGAGTGAATAAAACCATCTTTTCTTTTCTCCATCTTATCGTTAGTAATACATGCTACATATAATGTTAAAATGTGTCTTTAAGTTTATATGTAATGTTTCCAACCCCCAGAGGCAAATAAGAATGGGATTTATAAAGATACTGATAATAAAAGGCAATCATAATGAAAACTAATTAAAAAATGAGGTATTCTACTTAAGTCAGAACCGACTTATTACAGATTTGTCGGGAGTGAACCCCCGTGGTAAGTTGGGAATTACCGGTACTCAGAAAACAGGGTATATTATGTTTTCTTTTCTTTTTTTTTTTTTTGAGGTGGGTGTGCCAGTGTACTTGGCCCAAAATGTTTATAGAATTTCTAGTATACTTTAAGTCCTTACCATACGTTATTTTAATTCTCCACTCCCCGCCCCCCCAACACACAGTTGAGGGAACTGGGGCTTAGAGAGGTCACATTTCATGGCTAGAGACAGTAAAAAAACAATACCCTGCCCTCATTAGCTCTCAAAAGTAATTTCTGTTTTTTTTGGATAATCTGTGCTGGGGAGTAAATTCCTCAAAACTGCCTATGTGATGAATTATAGAGCCCTGTTTCCTTAAAAAGAATGTCCGTACCTGAAAATTTGTATGGAGTTTAGCTCATAGCTTCTCAGAATCTGGATATTGGTTTAGCCAATTTTTGTGGTTTTGAATTTTATATGCGCATGAGTGTGCATGCACACACACATATACACTCATCTCTAAAAATGTTGTCTGGGCATGTTTTAGAACAGTTGGGTTGAAATCTACTTTTCACCTCCTGTCTTGGTCATCTAGTGCTGCTATACCAGAAATACCACAAGTGGATGTCTTTAAAAAAGACAAAAATTTATTCTCTCACAGTTTAGGAGGCTAGAAGTCTAAATTCAGGGTGCCAGCTCTAGGGGAAGGCTTTCTCTTTCTGTCAGTTCTGGGGCAAGGTCCTTGTTATCAGTCTTCCCCTGGTCTAGGAACCTCAGGTCCAAAGGATGAGCTCTGTTCTCGGTGCTGCTTTCTTGGTGGTATGAGATCCCCTGTCTCTCTTGCTTGCTTCTCGCTTTTATATCTCAGAAGGGATTGACTTAAGACAGAACCCAATCTTGTAGATTGAGTCCTGCATTTTTAACATAACTGCCACTAGTACCACCCATTAACATCATTGAGGCAGAATGTGTAACACATAGGAAAATCACATCAGATGGTAAAATGGTGGACGATTACACAAACTGGGAATCATGGCCTAGCCAAGTTGACATACATTTCTGGGGACACAGTTCAGTCCATGACGCCCTCATTAGGTTCTTGCAGCGCCATGGTTGGCATTCACTGCACTAGCCACTGGTTTCTGAGGAGTTTAAAATAAAATATAGAAAATATTTGTTGGATACCAATATGGTCTTTTGTAGGAACAGTAGGAGGACTTCGGAGTGGGAAGAGATGGATAGACTCTTAATTGCTTAACCTTTTAATATAGAGCGCTTTTATATTAAGAGTATGTGGTCCTTTTATATAGTGATAGGTCCATCCTATCAATGATGGTAACACTAGTAAAACCTGTGGTTTTTTAAAATTGCCTTTGATATGATGCTTTGTTGGAGTATACAAAGCACAGTCAGTTTAGACTTCGAGTTTGCATTTTTGTTTTGTTTTATGAGGTGGAATTGACCTGTATGAGGCATGAATTCATGGTTGGTCTCATTTACGTCTTCATAAAACTAACTGAGCATGTCCTTGCTTACAGTAAATAACAGGAAGGTGTTTTTTTTGTTTTTCCCCCTCTCTCTGTTTTTGTTTTTTTAAAGAGTCAATCATGGATCAGGTAATGCAGTTTGTTGAACCAAGTCGGCAATTTGTGAAGGACTCAATTCGGCTGGTTAAAAGATGCACCAAACCTGATAGAAAAGGTAATAGCTTTAAAATGAGAGACAAAGTAAAATCTTTATATTTTCTTAGTGTTTTGTTTGGTTAACATCTTCATAATTAATAACTGTTGCCTTACTTTCATCAACATTTTTGATTTAAATTTTGTACAGTCTTCGTTGTCTAAATTTTTCTGTTTTATGTATTTTCAGATGGTGTAAGAGTATTTGTTAATAGCCTTATTCTCCATGTTACATTTGGCTTAGTCATATTTTATATGATTTTATAGTGTTTTAGTCTCTTTCATATTTTCACTCGGGAAATCCTTAAATCTTTTGGAGTCCTCCCTGCTCTGCCCTCTCACCCCCTCAAATGAACAAAACTGTAACATGAAACTCACAGCATTGTTGTTACCAACCTACAAAATTTATTTTGTTACTATTCATCTGTTAAAAGGTGTACCAGAATTTGTCTACTTTGATTCATTCATTGAGTGCTGCCTGAGTTGGGAGCTGAGAATATAATAGAAAATAAAGATAATCTTGTTTTCATGGAGCTTAAAGTCTAGCAGGGAACAAATAATTGCAATTAGAATTTTTATTTTCTGCTGTGATAAATATTTTGAAAGACAAGTGGAAGGAGCTTTGAGATTACGTAATAGGAGGACTAATCAGCTCTGGATGTCAGGGAACCTTCCCTGGAAGTAAACATTGAATTGAGTCATTACAGGGTCTAAAACAGTTTCGTAAAATTGTGCTTCGTCCAATATGATTTTTCAAGCCTTATTTTTGGCTTTGTCATTACCGAAGACATTGAACCCATTGTTTGTAATGTCCCCAAAAAAGTCATGTTTTTGTGCTTTTATAATCAATATTTATAGCAATGTTATAAACTTTAAAAAAACATAATATGTATTTCTTCCATCATTTCCCATTTCTCTTTTGATATTGTCGTTATGTGTTAAGAAGATCATATATTATTCACTGCTTGTTGATGGATTCGCTAGCATGGACATGTACTTTATTTGTGTTTAAATATCAACAAAATAAATTTTAAAACCTGTCAAACAACTAATTTGCTATTAATACTCTAATTTTTTGTTTTCTTTAAAATTGCATATCTACGTATCAGGAAAAAAGCGCAGCTATTAAGTTTATTTATGTCACTGATAGCACAAAAAATAATGTGAATTTTGTGTTTTTAAATGCAGAATTCCAGAAGATTGCCATGGCAACAGCAATAGGATTTGCTATAATGGGATTCATTGGCTTCTTTGTGAAATTGATCCATATCCCTATTAATAACATCATTGTGTAAGTAATCTTTATGAAATAGACTATCTAGGATGGAATGAAATTTAAGCCATTTGAGTTAAAAGTTAGCCCGCTATTTTATTAATACATGGATATGTTCCTTGACTTTTTAATACTACTAGATTTTACTAATTTTTTTGGGTACCTGTTAATTCAAAGTGGTTTTCTGTCTGAAGCAGTCTTTACAGCAGTTCTATGAGATAGTCACTATTTTGTTTAATAAATAAAATTTTAAAAAGTCACATGAGTTAAAGACAATAAATGACAAAGCAAGTGTTTCTAAGGACAAAACCAGTATTCAAGTCCAAGTCCTCTTTATGCTCTGTCTTGTTGATTTTTAAGATGCAGAAGAAATACTCCCCGTCGGAAAGTCACTATAGTGTTAAAGAGTTCAAGCCCTGAACCAGATTGCCTGCTTTCAAATCCTCTTTTTTGTTACTTAATATCTGTCTTGTTATGTGCCATCAAGTTGACTGCCACTCATAGAGACGCTGTAGGACAGAGCAGAACTGCTCTATAGGATTTCCTAGGCTGTAAACTTGACAAGAGCAGATGGCCAGGTCTTTTCTCTCACAGAGCGGTTGGGTGGGTTCGAGCTGCCAACCTTTCAGTTAGCAGCCGAGTGCTTAGCTTCTCTGTGCCCTGTAGGGATAATATTTCCTACTTGGGTTAGAGTAAAGATTAATAACATAAGTCATATAAGGTCCTTAAACACAATTTGGGTTAGCACTTAAATGGAAGCTGTTGTTTTATGTAATGAGCCATTGATACTAATGGGAGTGTGTCATACTACCGTTTAGGTATATTAGAGAGGGGAAGAAAAGACTGAGAAAACACTGGTATCACTTTACTTATTTCCAGATGCGTTTGTTTTTTAAATTCATTACAAGTCATTTGGGAACCTTTCATGTGTGAGCAATTACAGTAGTCAGTTTTAGTCAGTTCAGTTTAGTGTAAGGATTTAATATGAATTCCAGTACTTGCTTTGTGATCTTGTATTATTTATATAATCTCTGAGCTGCATCTTCCATTTGGAACTAGTAATACCTGTTAGTAAGTCCCTGGGTTGTGCAGATAGTTTGCTAGTGGCGTTATGGAAGAAAGGCCTGGTGATCTGCTTCCATAAAGATTACAGCCAAGAATATTCTATGGAGCAGTTCTGCTGTAACACACGGGGTTGCCATGAGTTGGAATGAAATCAATGGCAGCAGGTGCTTTTTAAATACCTATTATTTAATGAAGTAGTGAAGTTTGAAGCAGTTCCTTAGAAATGCTTTGTAAACTTGTAAATCTCATAAATGCTAGATATTCTATTACTGATACTGGTGCAGTATCTTTTAAATGACAAGTGACTGAATGTATATTGCCAGATGGATTTCTTAAGTAGGTTGCCATAGTTATTAAACAGAAGTGTCACAAGGTGATATTTTAGAATCAGAGTTAGATCTGAAAGACACCTAATCTCAAATCTCTAAGTTCTGAATTTCCTTTTGTATTACTAGTGAGAGATGCCAACTCTGGAATCATGGAATGGTTGAGAGAATAGTGAAATAGAATTAGAAAACATGGGACTTAAAGTGTCTCTGGGCTACAGTTGCATAATTAGTACAGTAAAACCTGTGAAAACTGGAACCTGTATAAGGCAGAAACCTGTTAGAGAAGGAAAACTCGTATTTTCCACCAATAGAGAGCAATAGAAAAGTGATAAGACTGCACCCTGTCAAAGGCAGAAAACTTGCAAGTCTGGGTAAAACAAGGCAGTCCCGTTGAGTTCCGCTGGTTCTCACAGGTTTCACTGTAAAAAGAAAAGGTGGACTAGAATCTGCCAAGTCCCTTCTGTTTCATACAACTCGCTTCTGCTCTTGCATTTCCTTACATCGTGAGACAGGTCTGACTGATAGAAAGTTACTCCTTTAAATTGATGTGAAACCTGTTTCCTGTGATAATCATCCCTTATTGTTCTTAGTTTTACCCTCTGAACATTTCCTCTTTTTTTTTTTTTTTTGTAAACGAGCACTTTTAAAATTTTTTCCCAGTCTTCGCTTAACACTAGTTTCACTGCTGTCTCTTGCCAGGCATCCCTATCTGCGTTGACTCTCCTGTCTTTTACACTAGATGAGTTCTGAGGCAGACCTATCCCATTATGTATATTCTACAGAATCTACCCCAGTGCCCAGTGCCCTCTTGTGCCAGTTAGAAAAACTGAATAAATGTTTGCTTAATTGAATATCTTCAGTTTCTCTACCTTTTTCTAATGGTAATGGTAATAATAGCTAACATTTATTGAGCACTTACTTTGTGCCAGTGAGTGTTCCTGCTTTGTGTATGTAATCCTTATGACAACTTTGTGAGGTTAGAATTATTATATCCATTTCATAGATGAAGAAACTGAGGGATAGAGAGACCTTAAGTTACATACTCATGCTGCATGGCTAAGAAGTGATAGAGCAGCATATAAAACCCAGGCAGACTGGTTCAGGAGCCTGTATTCTTAACTGGCTGATTTTGAGAACACTCCCCATTCTGAGCAATTCTTAGTCAGTTTCTTCACTTTATGCTTCAGTTTCCATTGCATTAGCTCTCTTAAAATCCAGTATCTAGAACCAAATGTCTACTGGAGATATGTTCTTGCCAGCAACTAAAATCCCCAGACAATTTCTCAAAAGTACCTGCTAAATTAAATCTCCTTTAGCGTGCGCTTGAACAGTTGGAGTGATTTATTTTTAGCCTAAGAAAGAAACTTTATTCTTGTTAAATTCTTTATTGCTAGATTCCTTTATTATGGAGACCTTTGAATTTTTAATCTGTCTAACATACTGTTATTTTTCTTGAGTTTTGTATTAGGACATATATCATTTTCTAAATATTGCTTTAAAGTATTGTTTAGGACAAGGCACTCTTAGCATAACTTTTTGAACTGAGAGCCATTAGTCCAGTGGTTCCCGACAGATTTTTCAAGTCAAGTATTAAGAATTTGTTCTTTCTTAATTCTGCTTTCCAACTTATCTTTTGCCAGCTTTACCAGTCGAGAGATTGTTCTAATGTGACCTTTTGGAAGCTAGTTGCTGCTTCTAGTTACAAAATTGTTTTAGTGTTTAAGGAGTTAAGCATCTGTCTTTAGATGTTTTTTACCTTAGAGTGAAGGCCGAATAAAACATTTTGGGAGAAAAGCTATCAGAAAACTTACTATTTTCATGATAGGCCATGACAGTTGTAAAACTGAACGAAATTTTTCCCCCCTACTTAAAGAGCATAAATCACTGTTTAAATCACTTCTAGATGATAGCAAGCAGGTATAACCACATGCTTCTGCTTTACTAGGTTGTTTTATTTTCACAAGGAGGCCTGGTGGTGCAGTAGTTAAATGCTTAGCTGCTAACTGAAAGGTTGGCGGTTCGAACCCACCAGCTACTATGTGAGAGAAAGATGTGGCAGTCTGCTTCTGTAAAGATTTACAGCCTTGGAAACCCTATGGGGCAGTTCTACTCTGTCCTATAAGGTTGCTATGAGTCGGAATTGACTTGATGGCAGTGAGTTTTTTGGTACTATTGTCACATTTTGTTCCTTATGATGAATTTTTTTCTTCTGTATAATTATAGCAATCAAAATTAATATCCACAGGTTATAATTTCAAGGAGTTAAGCAGTTGTGGGTGTTTTAGTTATAGCAATACAATTTAATATCATAAGCATTTAAAATACTTTGCATTAAAATATGTAGTGATATTTTATATTTTTCATCTAATGGAATTGTTTTTGTAACATTACAGCAGTAAAATGTATATCTGAATATACAATTTTAATGTTTATGATTTTGATACTTAGAAGTTCGTCTGTAGAAAAGATGATTTTTATTTTCATTATGATTAAACCAAAGCTTTTTGGTGATTATGGTAAGATGGAGTGATCGAGAACCATTATGCTAGTCTGCATTCTTTATTTTCAACTGTCTAGTTGACTATGGAGCCCTGGTGGCACAGTGGTTAAGAGCTATGGCTACTAACCACAAGATCGGCAGTTTAAATCCACCAGCCACTCCTTGGAGACCTTATGGGGCAGTTCTGCTCGATCCTGTAGGGTTGTTGTGAGTCAGAATTGACTCCATGGCAGTGGGTTTGGTTTGGAGTTGATTTATACATTAAGTTAAAAAACTTTTCAGCTAACAATAAACCTGTTGTCATCAAGTCACTTCCGACCCATAGCAACCCTATAGGACAGAGAAGAACTGCCCCACAAGGTTTCCAAGGCTGTGATCTTTATGGAAGCACACTGCCCCATCTTTCTCCCTCAAAGTAGCTAGTGGGTTCAAACCGCTGACCTTTCGGTTACCAGCCAGTGCATCACCAGGGCTCCTTTCAACTAACCATACTATCATGTAATTCATATTTTTTTTGTCTTGTTCAGAAAGATATTATGCTAGATAGTAAACATTTCCAAAATGGGCATTCTGAATTTTAAGATAAGCCTGTTTCAGCAACCTCATCTCTGCAACCTTTTCAGTTCCAAGATTCCAAAGTTCCGTGTGCCCTCTCAAATGTACTATTTTGGGGTAAAGTTGGATGTGGTTCTCAAATAACTGGCTTTGGTTTTATAAAATTGCAGCACACTGTATTTCAAGTGATAATAATTATTATTCTTATGTACACTCAAAATTGATCAGATGTTTTTCTTTTACAGTGGTGGCTGAATACCTTTTTGGAAGAGTCTGTTTTTCATCTTGGGGATTGGTGAACAAGTGAGGGTTTGAGAAGCTCATGGAGTAAAAATCTGCCTCTGTATTTTGTGTTTTTCTTCCATTTTTTTGCTTCCAAGATGTTTTCTATTTCTAAATTAAAATAATTTCAAAATAAACAAACTTCTCTTTTTTCCATCACAAATATCAAATTTTTAAAAAAAAATTATTGAGGTGAGAGTCACCTTAATCAAATTTTAATGAGAGACAATAACGATTCTTTTTTCCTTTTCTCTCTGGAATTTTGGTTTATAGGAGAAATTAAAGGGCATAGTGGTGTGAACTGTTGTACCTTCTGAGTGCTCCTCTGTTAGGTAGAGTTTTCCCTGTGATGGAAGAATAGGGCAAGTAAAGGATGGTAAAGACAGTGAACTCGTATGAGAATTGAAAGTAGACAGTGTTCATAAGCACTTACTATATAAACAGGTAGTTAAGAAAGTTCTTATAGAAGTTCAGGTGCTACTTGCAATTGCTTCCTGAGAATTGTGGTTAAAACATATCTCGATAGATTAGTCACACTGCCGTGAACACTGGAGTTCTGAATCTTGTAAAGAATCCACTGGTAATCTGAAATGAAAAAGGGCTAAACTCTTTCCCTTTTGAAAAAAGTGGTAATTTATTTATTTATTTTTATTGTTGTAATCTAAATGAAGCTTACATTTCAAGTTAGTCTCTCACACAAAATTTTATACATACATTGTTATGTGACCCTAATTGTTCACCCCATTCTGCGACAGCGCACTCCTCCTTTCTGTCCCTGAGAAGAGAAAATCAAAATTAATTACAGTTACAAGGTTAGTTAAATGGCTAGAGTCCAAACCTTTAGACTTCAGGCTCTTAGCTTTAATGAGAGGTTTTGGGAGGAGGGCTTAATCACAGCTCAGACTTGGTGGAGGTCCCTCATAGCTAGGGTCTGCAGTGCTGGGCAGAGTCTCAGCAGTCTTGCGGTGTTCAGGGAGAGAAAGAGACTAGAGAAAGATCCCTTTGCCTCTGCCTTCTCTCAGTGAGTGAATCATCCAAACAAATTTCCCTGATAATTTTTTGTCCAGGTAAACATTTTATCACACTTATGAGAGTCTAAATAGCATGTTCTAAGACGTGCAGATGGCCGTAAATGCTGTATTAATCATTACTATTGGAAATTTGTTCTTTATTTACCTTTTGGATCATGGATTGTATCTGCTTTGTTTCTTCAAATGGTTGCTCACCTGGTCATATTTATCTAAGGTTGATTTTATATCAATCAGAGAAATATTTAGTTTGGTTAGATGGTAGATTTCATGAATAATACTTATTACTCCTTCATCTTTACAGACTGGGAATAGTATATGTTGTCTCCAATGGTAATATTTAGAGAATGCAATCTTGAAGGGGAAATTTTGCATTATTTTCATCTGTTCAATAAGTTAGACTTACCTAAATTATACAGAGCCCTGGTGGCACAGTGGTTAAGTGTTAGGCTGCTAACCGAGGGGTCGGCAGTTTGAATCCACCAGCTGCTCCTTGGAAACCCTAATGGGGCAGTTCTGCTCTGTCCTATGGGTCACTATGAGTTGGAATTGACTCAATGGCAGCGAGTATCTAAATTATGAAGAATGCTCTAAAGGTCCAGTTTCCCAAATTATAGACAATTGTTTAGGCAGAGGCTCTGGTGGTGCAGTGGTTAAGTGCTCGGCTGCTAACTGAAAGGTCAGCAGTTCAAACCCACCACCCACTCCTCAAGAGAAAGATGTGGCAGTGTGCGTCTGTAAAGATTAAAGCCTTGGAAACCCTATGGAACAGTTCTACTCTGTCCTATAGGGTTGTTATGAGTTGGAATCGACTCAGTGGCAGCGGGTTTGTGGGATTTGTTTAGGCATTATGGCCATAGTCGTAGGAACTTGAACATCTGGAACATTAATGTTGTTAGGAGTTATCCATGTATCATGGTTCCACTCTTATGATTAATTAGGTGGGACATATATGCCTTCTGTGTACAGCGGCACTTTTTCAGCTGTAAACATCCATTCTCCCTTTTGAAATTGGGGCATCACCACGGTGTGGTAACTTGATTTCAGAACTCTGTCTTTTAGAGCTAAGTTTTCAATCTATCATGCCCCCATGAATGTTACATCAATTTAGACTTAGTAGTGTTGTCTGCTGTAGCTGGGTTCCAGTATCTACTTATTATTAGTGGTGGATATGTGAGACAGTTTGTCTTAAATTATTACTCATCGCAGTTGAATTTATAGGCTAACACATTGTGTCTTAATTTATAGATTTTCAAGTTGTTTAATCATCTGATTATTTGTTCCTAATAGCTTTGCTTAAGATGTCCCTAACATGATTTGTTCTAGCATATTCATTAATGTTATCAATTATTTAAGAAATTAGCTGTGATTGTGTGCCTAAATGTGAGAGAGCTGCCATAGCATGAAAATTAAAATTCCTTTATTGTTTTTGAATATCTTTTAGTCTACTTGTTAGATCATGTATCTGAAATTGTGATAATAAAGTTTTTATCAGGCCTCCTTTGAGACTGCCTAAAATTGGAAGAGCTTTCTAAGTTTTAAGGAGTTTCTTATTGACATAGCATCTAAAGATGGATCATAAGGTTCAGCAGATCGTTCAGAGCAAGTAGATGCTCTTCTGTTTGCCAAGAGGTGGAACTGATTAAAAGCTAAGGGATAAGATACAATAGTATCTTAGTTATCTAGTGCTGGTATAACAAATACTACAGGTGGATGACTTTAACAAATTTATTCTCTCACAGTTTAGGTGGCTAGAAGTCTGAATTCAGGGCACCAGCTCTGGGGGAAGGCTTTCTCTCTTTGTTGGCTCTCAGGGAAGGTACTTGTCACCAATCTTTCCCAGGTCTAGGAGCTTCTCAGCACAGGGACTGTGGGTCCAAAGGACATGCCTCACTCCTGTCACTTCTTGGTGATAATGAGGTCCCTGTCGTCTCTGCTCGGTTCTCTCTTTTATATCTCAAAAGGTATTGACTCAGAATGCAGCCTAATCCTGTAGATTGTGTCCTTCCTCATTAACATAACTGCCTTTAATCCCGCCTCATTAGCATCATAGAGGTTAGGATTTACAACACAAAGGATAATTAGATCACAAAATGAAGGACAACCAGACAATACTGGGAATCATAGCCTAGTCAAGTTGACACACATTTTTGGGGGACACAATTTGATCCACAGCATTCCACTTTGACCCCTAAAAAGTCATGTCTTTGCCACATGTAAAACACATTCACCCTATCATATCATCCTGAAAGTCTTAAATCAACTCCAAGTCCAAATTCCATTCTGGGGCAAAATTCCTTTTCATCTGTGATATCTAGAATACAAGTCATCTGCTTCCAAAGTACTATGGTGGAACAGGCACAAGGTAGACATTTCCATTACAAATGGGAGAAATTGGAGGGAAAGAAGGGATAATGGGTATCAAGCAAGTCCAAAACCCCTCAGAACAATTTGCATTAGCTATCAAGGCTTGAAAATAATACTGTGTTCTCTGAGACCATTTAGGCAATGGCCCACCCTCCAAACTCTGGGTGTTGGCCACACTATGGATTCTGGGTGGAGGCGCCTTAGCCCTGGGCTTCAGCTCTGCCTTCCAAGCCCACTGGAATGGCAATTGTGCTCCCTTGGCTTTGGGTGAACCCATTCTCCTAGTCCATCTGAGTGGCGACTACCCCCTCAGCCATGGCAGACCCTGTTCTTCCTGTCCCTTGAGCATTGCAGCCCTGCCCGTCAGCTTTGAGCAGTGGATCCAGCCCCATCTCCCTGGCACTCATGAATGGCAGCCCCATGCTCCAGAACTGAGTTGGTGAAGATCTGACTCTTTGAAACCTAGGAGGCTGTGGACCCACACTTTGAGACCCAGAAGGCTGTTGTTTCACACTTTGAGACCCCAGAGGTCGTGGCCCTACCCTTCCAGACTGAGCCAGCTCTGCTTCCTGTGTTCGTGTCTCTTCAGCTTCTGCCTCCTGGTTCCTTGGCCCGTCAGCCCCTTGGCCCCTTGGGCCTCTTGGGCAGGCCCAGCCTCTGCACTGCTCAGATAAGTGTTACAAAGCTTTAGCTCTACTGATGAGTGCCTGGGGACACCCCACTCCACCAGTAAACCTCAGCTGGAAGACACTCAACTCTCTCTGGGTCAGCAAGCCTTGCTCCACTGATAAATGCCCAGAGGCACCCCACTTCACCAGGAAGCTTCTTGCTCAAAGGCACTTAGCTCTCTTGCTCTGTGGGTCACTTCTACACTATCACATGCCTGTCTCCTGGTTCTGCTGCTGCTGTTTCTCTGCTGCTGCTTCTCACCTGTGCTGTCTCCAGTGTTACGGGTCTTCTCACTCCCCTCTGAGTCCTCACCAGAATTGTCTTTGATGTCCATAATTCCACCAACAGTCTCTTCAAGGCAATCTAGGCTTTTATTATTAGGCACTTAAAACTCTTCCAGCTTCTACACAGTACTCAGTTCCAAAATCACTTCCACATTATAGATATCTGTTAGAGCAGCACCCCACTCTTGGTACCAAATTGAAATTCTGTCTTAGTTATCTAGTGCTGCTATAACAGAAATACCACAAGGGGATGGCTTTAATGAGCAGAAATTTATTCTCTCACAGTTTAGAAGGCTAGAAGTCCGAATTCAGGGCACCAGCTCTAGGGGAAGGCTTTCTTTTTCTGTTGGCTCTAGGGGAAGGTCCTTGTCACCAATCTTCCCCTGTCTAGGAGCTTCTCAGCACAGGGATCCTGAGTCCAAAGGATGTGCTGTTCTTCTGACTCTTGCTTCTCGGTGGTAATGAGGTTCCTCTCCTCTCTGCTCACTTCTCTCTGATATCTCAAAAGAAATTGACTCAAGATAAATCTAATCCTGTAGATTGTGTCCTACCTCATTAACATAACTGCCTCTAATCTTGCCTTATTAACGTCATAGAGGTTAGGATTTACAACACAGAGGATAATTACATCAGATCACAAAATGGAGGGCAACCACACAATACTGGGAATCATGGCCTAGTCAAGTTGACACACATTTTGGGGGGACAAAATTCAATCCATAGCAAATCATAAGGTTAAGTATAACAGAATAGAATTAAACATAAGTTCCCATATGCCTGGTAACAGTAACAGTACAGCCAACAG